CCTATTTATAGAGGAAGAAGGGGTGTAGATGAAGTGGTGTGGGCCAAATCGTGCAATCTTTCGAATAGTTGTAACATTCCATCTTCGCTAGCTTTTCGCTCGAGCAGCGCTTCAAAAATCAGAGCAGAACATACTTCGCTCACTTTTCGCTCGAATTTCGCTCGAGCGAACATCGAGCGACAGTGTATTTTAGCCCTTTTCCACTGTATTTTCCTCCAATCTTTGGACCTCAATTTCTCATTCACCCGGAATTGGTTTCTAATGTTCAAATATACTACGATCATCTACTCGACGAGTAGAACAAGTTGGCCTTTTTACTTTTATAATTTGGCCATTGGATCAAGTCCGAATATTCGGCCGAAATTGACACATTAGTCACACTTTTCGATTTCAATTTTTACTTAACCAATTTCCGATCTTTCATGTTAATTTGGAAACCAGTTTCCAACAGTTAGAAGACTTAACTGATGCCTCTACGACTCAGGCAGAAAAGAAAGAGTTGGATTCCCGTTCAATATATATTGGTAATGTGAGTTTCTGAATGCCCTTCTTAATTCTGTTAATTTTATTCCTTGTCATTGCAATTTATGTTGCGTTAGTTTCAAGAATAAGCATGCTTGTTGTCAACTCTTTGTTAATTAGACAGTCCCAACGTTTTAAGATCAGGCCCAATAAATATTTCTCTAATTCTATTGATTTGGAAATGGAATACCTTTTATCAAATTGTTTACTTTGGCTTCCTTTATCCATGAATTGATCTTTTCTCATTTTTCCTTCATTCAGAGATAGACAAGAACTTTCTAAAATCCTACTGTGGAAACATTTATATTTTAGTGTTGAACTACTAATTGTTAGTAGTCAATTTTAAATATATATTTTTAACAAACAATCTTATTTTTAATGACGTGAAAGATACCTCTTAAAATATAGGATAAATTTCAGAAGCCTCCCCTAAGTATATGACAAATACAGTTCTACCTATTCAGTTTTCAAAATTAAGAATACACTCCCTTATCTACGACTCGAAACCAAACAATATTGGAATTTTTAAATTGAAAAATAAATTTTATATTTTTTATGTAATTATACCTTCATTTATTAAAAGTGTTCTTGTACGTGGTCTTCTGTATTAGTAAATCTTATGAATGTATTGTAAATGAGAAGATAATTAATTTACATTAAATTAATGTGATTGGAGCTATAAATTGTTAATACAAGATACTATTGTCAACATTCCAAAAGAATTTTAAAAATTAAATTTAGAAGGGGGGGGGGAGCTTTAAAATTGAACTAATGTTGTGAGGAGTATTTTTGGTGCTTGACAGTTCATTCCCTTAAAAATGCATAGAAATAGTGAAAGGAGGAATAAAATGTTCGGCTGTGCTACCTGCACAAGCTCTTTTGCACAGAGCCTATACAGGTGCACACACATGGGGATGGACCCTACACATGGGGTCCACCCCCATGTGAGAGCCCCTATACAGACCCCGTGCAAAGGGCCCGTGCAGGAGGCTTTTTCCTAAAATGTTACTGTTGCGGAAGCTCTCTCAAAAGGATCTTCAAACGGTGGTTTTCAGACTCAGTCCAACGCACCTTTCTCAACCAACAACCAGTCAAATCTGCTCCAAACCACAACCAATTGATTCACCTTGGTTGCTATGCAATCTTACCCACATAAGACAAGAAATGATGATGATTTATGGTCACAAAGGCTAGGAGAAGACACCACAAAGGTATACTATGAAAGAACCACCAATTGCACACGTTATACAAGCGTTCTAGACACTTCTGAACACCTTTTTCTCACACAAAAAGGGGGCAGCCGGGATTCACTATTTCTTCTCTCAAAATCACACAAAACATCATATGAAAGTGGTTAGGGTTATAGCCAAATATATACTCTAGGGTTAGGCTTTAAGTTGGGCCATTAAAGGGGTAAACGGGTCAAGATTCAAGCCATCCATAAGGAATACAATTGGGCCGGGTATAGCTCATGGACTTGGTTGTTGGACTTATTTCATTCATCGGCCTATACTTATGAAATAATATTAACTCATGTTAACATCATAGCCCGGGATTTATTGTGTATCAAAAACCCAACAGTTACTCAACATAAATCTCAAGGGTTGTCTCTAACATTTTAAACAAGAGGGGTGTATTTGTATTTGTCGTATACCTCAAGGGAGGTTACTGAAATTTGCCCTAAAATAGAAGAAATAACAAGTTGAAAACAATATCTAGAGTGTGACACATTCTTCCAGCCAAGAACATACATGGTGGTGGATCCAAAATGGCTTCACGCTCGGGAGTAATTTCTTTTCCAGAGTGATGAATATTAAAGATACTTGGAATGTATTGCAAAAGTCCTATTCTTTACATTTCTTTTTATCTGAAATTGAGTCAAAAGATAAAGGGAGGTCCTTAAAGTCCTTAGATGTAGAAGCCCAAGAAAAAATCAAAAACCTTTGCTCTCTCATATATCTCCAAGCAGCTGTTTGTTTTTTTTTTCCTCGAAAATTTTGGAGTTCATTGATGTCCAGCCCATCAAAATATAGCCAATACCTGATGTTTCTACATATCAGCCATGATCCAACTTTTGTAAGCCAGAACCAATATATTTTCGGAAGGTGTAAAGTTTGAGAGAAATTAAAAATGGATGAGATCTCTATGTAATCTTGTATGCAAAATCAATATGCCAGGTTAAATGCTTACTCTGCCTCTTAAATAGATATTTTTCCTTAATTTAACTAAATTCCTTTTAGAAGCTAGTATGCATGTGGAGTATACGCAAGTATGTATGATTTGTTCTGGTTTGGATTGACCCGATTGATTAATCGCATTACCAATTGCTCTTTCAAAATTCAGGTGGACTATGGCTGCACACCTGAGGAGGTGCAACAGCATTTTCAGTCATGTGGTACGGTATATAGGGTGACTATTTTGACTGATAAGTTCGTCCAGCCGAAAGGTTTTGCTTACGTCGAGTTTGTTGAAACTAAGGCGGTGCAGAATGCTTTACTTCTGAATGAATCTGAGTTGCATGGCCGTCAGCTGAAGGTTTGTGAACTTATATTGATCCAAAAGCTTAAAACGTGATAGTCATACGTATCTGCAACAACGATTTTGATGGATTTTGGAATTTGGACAGGTATCTGCTAAGAGGACTAATGTTCCTGGGATGAAACAATATCGAGGAAGATGTCCGAACCCTTATTATGGATCAAGAAGGTCGTTCATGCCTGGTCCTCCTATGTACCCTCCCTATGGTTATGGGTAAATACTAGGGTTTAGTTTTTTGGCTTTCACCCATAACAAAGAAATGATGAGAAAATGCACTCTTTTTCACGTTGAGGCTTGGGCTTGAAGCTTTTGATACTAAATAATTATGGTATTTTGAATAGATAAATAAGAATCTTTCTGTTACTTAGATTAGCGAAGATATCTGTTTACCCTAATTCTTTACTTGGAATAAAATTGTACCATTGGATTAACATTTCTTAAATTTGTGGTTTAATTAAAGATTGTGATTTCAACTCTCTCGTATGTAGGAGGGTTCCAAGGTTTAGACGTCCTGTGCGCTACAGGCCAAATTGATGTATCTTGATTGTCGTCTGTCGGTGTTCTATAGATATTGGATGGTCGATTATGAAACCCTCGTCCCTCCATATTTGTTATTTTAGGGATTATTTTGGCGATAACTTGTACCATTACATGCATTCCGAAAAGCCATAAATTAGATTATTAAATTTTGCAACTTTATTTCGGCATGTTGTTGTGCTATTAAGCCTACGAGTGGGGATCAAGATGGCACCAAATTTCCATTTAACCACCAATTTCTTTTATTTATTTATTTTTGTAGATTTTTTTTTTTTAAATTTTTAAAAGAACTTAATCGGGTGGGGATCATGTCCTAATCTCTGATTCAACGCTAATTTCGTAGGCTCGTCCCAGCCCCATTCTCAATTAAATCAAGAATTCTTCCCCCGTTGCCATCTCTGTTGTTCAAGGAGTTTCTGTCCAATTTAATTGTTAATGTTAAATGGCTCCATAAATAGTTGGTTCAGCACACACTAAACATGTTGCTTATTACTGCCCCTCTAAAGAGGTAACACCATTCGAATTATGTAGGCCTATGCTCCTATGATTTCAATAGTAGTTGGAACTTTGCTACAGGTACTCGGAGTTTGACACTCCGGATTACCTGCTACTCACATGGGAGGTCGGGTCCCACGCCTATAAATGTGTGGGGCCCAGCCCCCTCACTCATATCGGATAACCCAACATGTCAAATCCCGGGTACAAATGGATTATTCCTAGTAGTTGAATAATGCAATGGATTGGTTTTTGATTGTACATAAAGATGGTGATCAATGAAAACTCGTTTACAAAAATTATTTTACAGGCTTGCCTCAGCTTATTGGCTTGACTTCTCTCTTTTAAGCTCTAATGGAGAAATATATTGATCCCCGTCAAATCTCAATTCACTTTCTGAATCTATAGCAGTGCTTTTTTTCTCTCTCTCAGATCAAGGTTCTTTTTATCTCTCTCGAAAAAAAATTAAAGGGGCTGATCTCTTCGTATTTTAGTTTCGTAGTTTTGAGTTTTGAATTCATTTTGAGTTTTGTGTTTTCAGTGACTGTTTTAAAATTGTTGAAAATACGTTCTCTTTGTCATTCTGAAAAACTGTTTTTCAAAATATAAAACTGAAAAACGCTTTTACTTTAAAATTTTGAAAATATTTTTTTTATAATATTATATTCAAAAAATCTGATTATTCAATAAATTTTATTAGTTTAATGTCAATATAGTATTAAACATAGTATTAGTTGAACTTTATAGAATTCTTCATGTTAGCCATTGGATTTTATTTTTAGTTTAAACTAGTAACCAACTTCAATTTTTCTTCCAATTTGACCATTATGCACGTCTCCGTGATGAAAACTAATAACTCATCCATATCTCACGAATTGTTTGAAGTTCTTAAAACCAACTCCATTTGTAATTATTTTTCATTTCCATCACTACACAAGTAATGAAAAATATACAATAATGAGTAGCAAATATAGTTGCCATAATTTATTGCTTTAGGCTGAAGACTTCTGAAGACACACACATTTTCAAGTCCAGAAAGGGGTGACACAGTGAGAGGGAGGGGGATGCTAATCCCAAAACCAACTTTAAATAGTTCTAACATCTAACTAGAGAAATAACACTTTTTCCTACTAAAACTTCGTTTGATCCAGTCCTATGTGCATTTTGTACAAGGAAGAACACTGAACTTTTAAACAAGATAAGAAAGTTAATTTATCTTCCCTCGTCTCTGCAAGCTGAAAGAAACACAGCCAAGAATGAATTGCCGTCCTCCTCAGGGAAGCCAAGATTCAATCAAGAAACCAGGATTTCATAGCTTTCACTAACCATAGAAACTCACTGCATGGCAAGTGAGCAGTTCGATACAATATTTCTCCACTGCTAATTTGAAGTGCACCCTTCCTCTCTCTCGTCTGACAAGTTAATTTGCTTTCTAACACTGCTAATATCATTATTGCAAGAAAATTCGGCCTTCAGCACTTTCATTTCATTAGATTCGGAGGGCAAGGTCTTAGAACTGGATAAAGCATAGGACTGTGTTGAGATGGCAGAATCAGAACGCGTCTCCTTTGAGGTGTCTGCATCAGACGTCTTTGCAAAACATCCTCCGGAACCTCTTGCTTTCCTTGAAGCATGCTGGTATCGAGACTCATGAAGATAAGGCTGAAAGTCAACAAAAGAAAAACAATTACCAACGATACAGAGATGGAACCCTACAGAAAGAACTCCAGGATCATGAATCATCATACATGCTCACATATGTTAATTTTTGCTTACTTTAAGTTAAAAGTTCAAATGTTACTCTCAGTTTATTGTCAAAATAAATTACTTATTTCCAGATTTGACAAATAAAAAAATTATTTATTTTAAAACATAATTATTCACTTATAACTTATAGGTGAACTTTTAAACTTAGCCAAGTATGCTCTTATCTTTGTTGCTTAAGAATTTTATGTGGGCAACAACCTATTAGGGAAACAAAAATATTTGCATTACCTACCTTTTGAACTTTTATCAATTTCTTTTCAAGCTCTACTTTAGAACGCGATTGCCTTGTACAAAGATTCCCATGGTACTGCTTGGCATTCACATGCACAGGCTCCTGTGCCATTTCGATTGGCAATATCATCCTCTTATGATGCACATTGTATATAATAGGAACCTGATCAAAAGAACAAACATAATCTTTCAATTTTTTTTCTGAACATTATGAGATTACACCACATCTAATTAAAATTATTAAATTGAAACAACTTTCCCAAGAATGTTCAAAGATCATATGATAAGAGCTAATGTACTCCCAAGAAAATTATGGCAACTATATTGACTGACTGATCAGAAGTCTTTAGCCTAAAGTAATAAATTAAACAAGTTATGCCAACATGAAAATCAAACTAATTATAAAAAAAATATACATGGATACAACTCACTCAGTGGAAACAATACCAAAAACTCCATACAGTCACACCCGACACTCTCCCTATCCGACACTCTACCTACCACTTCTATTTCTTCAACACACTGCAAAGAACAGTTTATCAGCTTACATCTATTTAAGCATTATAACAGATCTCAACAAGCCAAATTCCCAAGAAAAAAATAATGTCGCATTCGAGTTCAAAACCATTAAATGTAACTGAGATATATTTAATATTCAGAGTTGTAGTTCATTAATCACTTTGTGTTGTACAAACTGTGTTATAAAGTTTTTGACGTTAACAACAAGGAGTTTCTGAGGTTCATTGAAGGTCTTCACGTGAATAAGAAAAAACTTAGAACTGACTTGCACAAATAAGCAGCGATTCCCAGAATAATACACAGCGAAATGATGTCAATACAGAAATGTCGACTAGATCTCAGCTAGAACAAAACAGAACTCCAATTTAATACAGTATGGTTAGAAATACGTTGAGAGGTGTACAACAATTCATAAATGCAATTCAAGGATAAATGAGTAGAAGAAGCAATCCTAGATAGCGAAGTAAACCGAGCAACATGCTTACTCCATCTAACCATTGACATTGAAAGAGAAAGCTGAAATGCTTTAGTCAGTCAACTAATCATCTCAAAATACCACGTAAAATCACTATCCTGGTTAAATCAAACAGCCTCAAAAAATAAAACTATTCAATGATTGTCAGCACCAATAGATTTTAAAATCTTCCCTGAAGTCAACAATTTTACACTTTTCTGGTTGAGAATGTAATTATCACACTCTTCTCAGGATTTTGTTTGAAAAAATGATATAGTAAAATCTACATTCATGGCATAGAGTGCAAAGACAAAATGATATTATGATTTCACTTGCTAAGACATATCTAGGTTTTGTTTCTTGCATTGCAAAAAAGAAAGGCTTGGAGCAATTCTCTATCTTTATCATTGCAATAATACAAGTTGCATTATCAAATATCACATTCTCAAAAACAACATGAAGCTGTACGTAAAAAGATATGAAGTTGTGTGTGTCTGCAAGAATCCTGGATACAAACCTTATTGGTGAACTAGGCCAACGAATAAATACTTTCCTTTAAGTGTTCCATATAAGGACCAATTTTACACAATGTTTATAGATCTGGGTTTATCAATTTTTTGGCACCATCAACGACAGTAATTAATGAGATAAAAATGCACCAGAAGCTGAAGTAACACAATGCAGAGGGTTTTCTCAATTTAGAAGTTAAAGAAACTTGTTGGGATTTCCCAGGTCTTGATTCATACATCACAGTATTACCGCTTAAAGGCTGCTTTAGTGTGGGAAAAACCTTGTTATATAGAGACTAGAAAAAAAAATGAAAAAAAAAAATTGCAAGTCTCTAGTTCAAAACCTTGGGTGTAATTGGATTAGGAATTAATTCAGCAGAGTTAGCCCCAGGTTTCAATAGCAGATTTGAATCCCCATTCCAGAAATTCTAGAAACCGCTCCCACACTGTATCAAATTCACCAGCAGATTTGAATCCCGATACCAGAAAAATCGTCGTTCGCGATTCCCAATTGACCCGGTTTGATTTCTTCAAATTTCGACGCCGTCAAGTCAACCCATAGTGGCGGACCACATGGGTCGACATCGTCTGCCTTTGCTACACATTGTCCAACAATGGACCCGACCCAATTTCACCCAAAACAGGTGGTGGATTTCGGTGTGAGGGAGAGGATATGTGAGAGAGTGATATGCGGTGGTGGAGAAATGGAAATGAGAGTCTTCCCGTGTTTTGTAAAAATGCCGTGTTTTTGCTAGAAAACACTCAAAACGTCTAAAATGACGCTTTGAGTTTTGTATACAAATTATTTTTTGTTTTCCAAAATTCATTTTCGAAAATGAAAAGGAGATCGTATTTTTACCATTTTGAAAATCGAAAACAAAAAACGGTTTGAAACGACAAAGAGAACTGCCCGTAAGCCTTTTACTTCTTTACTTCCATTACTGTCGGAACCATTCATGTAATGAGAAAAAATAAATAAATAATCCAATTATTGGGATGCGACTAGGTACCAAATATGGTATTAGTATCTTACAGTGGAGTATCCCAATTCTAAACCTGATTAAATTTTAATACCATATGGTCCATATCACTTCTCGAAATGGTTGCAGGCAAAATGCACACCGCTTCCTACGTAGTAAAAGATGATAGAATCCAGTACTAAGCTCTCATTTGACATGATTTTTGTTTTTATTTATGTTTCTTGTAGAAGAACTTAAGTGTGTTTGATTAACATGGAAAATATTATCTAGAAAAGAAAATATTTTCCATCTTTTGTGGAAAATAAAAACCACCTCTACTCAAGGAATATTAGGCATATTTTCAAAAGTTGGAAAATATTTTTCATGGAAAAAAATAGCAATCAAACACTCCAAGTGAAAATTTGGATGGAAAACTAATATTTTCCATGGAAAATAAATGTAATCAAACACACCCTTAATGAAGAAGTTAACTTAGGCAAGCTTCCTCGAAAAGTTCTTCTAACCGGTCAAAAAATTTTCAAAAATTATTCAAACTTGTTCAACGGTAACATCTTAATCTCAGAATCAGCTTTTAACTTTTTAAAAACACTGCTAAATGTGCCTTAAATGGGTGGAGGGGGGGAGCTCTTCTCAAGTTCAAAGATAAGCTTGTTGATGAATTTGGTCGCCTCTCTTAGGTATTAAAGATTTTGATTGTCTTATAATTGAAGGGGAAACTAGATACTGATACTGCTGCAAAGATTAAGCGATTCTTGATGAATATCCTTATTTTTATTATGCCGTTGATATATCAATAACAATTATTTCCAAGATATAGATAATAAATCAATATAAAGCTAACTGTCGAGTCTTTCTAGACGAGGATTGCAAGGAGGCTCGCTTAAGCAACAGCGATTAATAACTCTTCATCTTCATGGCCCTCCAAGTATGGCATTCTCAATATCTTCTCTACTCAGTGAATAACTCATTTCAACGTCTTTCACAAGCTTTCCTGGTCCACTCTTTAGATACCTGCATTCAATTCCAAAGAGCTGTTAGGAACTTGAATTACTAAAATTTGAAAGGGAAACAAGAGAAGCTTGTTCGATTGAAGAGTAACGAACATAATGAAGAAAGCATAGATAATTAGGCAGTTGAAAAATTAATATAAAGCAGGAAAAAATAAAATAATTTCTTGAAGGTAGACATTCTGAAGCTGACTCGGAGGATTCTGGTTTGCTTAAGGGAGTTCCGATAGGTCGGCATACTAAAAAGCAGCAAAAACTAGTCTATAAAAAGAGAGAACGCATTGCATCTTCTACCATTTTAGATGTTCTTTTAAAGAAGCATCCTTAACTTCATCTACTAGTCTTTCTAAGACAGACTGAAACCTAGATCAGAGCAGAGAGTTGTCTAGACTTCATATTACAAATGACCGGTGAATACATGACAAGCTTCCCATAATTACTCATCGAGTTGAACCCTTCAACATCAAAACAGTATAATAACTCTTTGGGCTTTGTTGATTTACTGCAGGATCTTGTCATTAGTCTAAATTCAGATCTTATTTGCCGGTGAATACATGACAAGCAACATAACTGGTAAATAAGATAGGGACTTTGAAAAAAAAAAGGTACTTCTGCGGACAGGCAAGTTAAAAAATAATGAATTGCTTCTGATTTAATTGTTAATCAACTTTTCAATTTCAATTAAACCAAAATTTTAGTTCTATCAATAACATACTTTCACAAGTATGTCTATGATCTACATCTGTTGGGTTTGCATTGCGAAGTGTTATAGTCAATAGTTAACCTGAGGCCAATAATTCATCTCAAGAAATCGTCCACAACTCTACATATTTCTAAAATATCTTTAGAAACTAAGCTTCTACTTCTCTGGAAGAAAAATATGACAACAGAACCAATCTCTCTCAAAAGTTGAATGCTTCTGGTAAAGACTCATCAAAATGAGATCATGGTATGTTTGGTAGGCAGTATTAGATAACACTCGACACTAATAAAAAAGATAAAGAAGCAAAAATCTTTTTCGTTATACTGTCCACTTCACTCTAGTGTTATGTAGCAAACACACACTTCTTTTACTCAGAAAGTGTAATGCTGAACATGGCTTATTACTGGAATTTCGTAGTCTTATTATGACGAGAAGATGGTCTAAAATACAAACTTTAACAGAACAGAAAGATATACTATCCAACAAAAGGAACTCCAAACAAACAAATGTTTGCACTATAAACAAATAAACTTCTGGATTCTAAACTAACAAAAAAGATGATCCTTGGTTCCTATAAAAGAGGAAGAGCATTTGTGAAATCTATATGAAAAGTAACTGATATATGGAGGAGGAATATCCCCCAAATATATATATATATATATATATATATATATATTATGGAACAATTCAAAGCCTCTGTCAATGTGTCTTTCAACTGAATCTTTTAAAATGGTTGACTTCACTAGAGGAAATAAGAATTCATTGCATTAGCCATGTGCATTACCCAGCCCACATTAATCAACTCTATACAATGGTTTGATACTTGCACTAATATGGTTCATTGTCAATGCATAACAGAGTACATCTTAGCAATTGAACAAGCGTAAATAATTACAAGCATAGTTGGCAACACAATGCCCTAGGACTTCACATTTCTTCCTTCTTATCGTAAAATACTTTGTGGCTAGTCGTTCCTCACATGTAACTCAGTATAAATCATATAACAGATTATTTCTCTTTGACTTTTTCCTGAAGCAGTTTGCAACATCGTTACAAGGACTATCCTAGGCTAAGATAGTTACGATGTTAAGATCTTGTTTGGGAAAGCTTAAAAAGCTGCTAAAAAGTCGATGTCATATTCAACAACTAAGGCTCCGTTTGGTAGAGATTTTTTGCCCCGAAAAATTGATTTTTTGACCGTTATTTTACTATTCAAGCCGTAATTTTTGACTTCTTCTCTCACATGTGGACCCCACTTTTCTTCTAACGGTCAAAAAATCAATTCTCAAAATCCCTACCAAACGGGCCCTAACTTTAACCACGCAATACATTGGACCCACACTTACTATCCACTTCTTCACCACTCAAAATGAGTGGGGGTCCACCACTCCTTTTTATCAAAATCAGCTTTTTAGCTCTCCCATACAAACACAGTCCTTATTCCTTATTATAAGTGCAATAATAAGCAAGCAGGAATCCAAAAATTACAAAAAAAAACATGAGAGTTATAGTGGATATGGGAGATACTTCGACTCGCCATCACAAGCTTTCATTAAAATCGGCAAGAAGTTGCAATGGAGAGATCTAACTCCTCTCAATCTGTGTCTCTCTAACAAACAGCACCCTCAAGTTGCTATAGTTATCATGGAATACAGGTCAATCCACAATCGATGGGATAAGTGAACACAGCATAATTATGGGTCAATGGTGCAACATATTCACCTATCAATGAGTCAAACCACAAAATTCATTAACTCACAAACTGCAATATCATCCATTACCCTGCAACCAATTTATTACCCAATAACCTTATTTTCCCTTCCACAAAATAAAACCAAATGTTTTCTTGCCATGAAGCTACATTGTTTTCTTCCCCAGTTAAAACAAATGCCCAATGATCTGAGCCTACTGCTCCAACACATAATTTTAATCCTAAACTTGATTCCAGAATCCAAATACTAACAATAAGAGCAAGAGGACAATCCGTAAGAATGATATGAAAAATACTAATGTTAATAATAAAAAAGCTAAAACTCCAATCTTTAGTCATCAAATGAAATACAACAAAACCTTATGTAAAGATCACTAGATCAGTGATATCAAGCTAGAGTTGGCCATGCCAATCAGATTTCTCTACAAACCAAGCAGCTCTATCTTCTCTACTCTGGTAAAACCCAAGACTTCTCAGCCAGGCTTCTATGCATGGCAACCTGTGAGAGTGCAATGGCTTCTTTTCCTCCGGCGACTTTTGAAGCCACTCATCCTCCGCTTCCAGTATCTCTGCTTCTTCTGACGATTTCGAGTGGTTATGGGTCTTTCTTGATATGGAAATGGAAGATGAAAATTGGGCACCTGATGAGAATTTCTTGAAAACTAAAGGGCATGTGATGGAAATTCTTGGAATGGAGGATGATGGTGTTGGAGCAACTGTGATGATTTTGAAGGTAGAAATGGCTTGCATTATTATTTTCTACTTTAAATTCTAATTTTATTTATTTTTCACCTGTTATGTAGCAAGGAATTTGAAGGTGGAAGAACTTAGAAGACGAATTTACAGGGAGATTTCATAGAAAATTGGAGAAGATGAAGAAAAGGTTTAAACGTCGTCGTCAGTATCGCTTGCATTGTCGTTATCACATGATTTTCCCGTGATTATAGTAAGAACTCAAAAGCGTGTCGCACTTAAGTTTAACCGTGTTAAAAAGAAAACCATGCATTGAAGAGTGTCTACAGTTGTCCAATTTTCTTTAATCTTCGTTGAAATTTTGGTGATGTACTCAATTTTTTTTATTTTCTTTTCCAATAATGCGTAATTATTTTAATTACAATTACTTAGTGTCTCTGAAATAATTGATCAGTATTTCATTGAATTGTAAATTTGTACTGAATCAAGAGATAAGTTATGGAAATGGACCACGTAAAATTCAACAATTGAATAAAAAATAAAGATACATTATTATCAAAAATATTGCGGTCATGAAATGAATTCCAACGTGATATAATGCATTTAGTTGAAACTTATATGGTGAGTTATTTGCCCAGATACAATTGATTTGCCCCTAAGAGAGGTAAATTAATTAAATTAGTGAATTAGGCCAATACAATTTTAAAAACAAATTTAAGAAGAATAAAAGGAAATAAATATGATGAGATCACGATTCCTAACACCTCTCCTATCCATGTTAAAAATCCTAATTCTTAATTGCGCATTTTTATTGTTTTAACGCGAAATTGGAGTTTACGATAAATAGTTCTTGTAAAATAACAATTCAAACTCTATGGCCCACTTCATTTTTTTTTTTTTTTTTTTTGTTCATAATATCGTACACTCGTGATTAAATCAGGCAAGTCGTTTGTATTGTCTTTACCTGCCTTGTATTGATTGATTCTCTCACGAATTTTTCTCAATGATTACTTAGGACTGGATGATAAAATTTTGCCTGCTGTGCCTAACGCAGATAATATTTAGAGAATAGTTTTGATGCTTGGAGCTCTTCACCGAGTTCTCACATTCTACTGGAGTATGAAGATGCCGGAAACAAGGCTATATCGCCTCTTATAAAGGGTGATGCTAATCAAGCAGCTACCGACATGGACAGAGTTGTTGACATGGAAATTCAAGCTGATCAAGAAAATTTAGCACAATTCAAGGCTGCTAAAGAATACCCTTTGTTGTCAAAAGAGTTGTTCAGACGCCATGGCCAACACCTAGCTAGTACGATGACTACATAGTTCTTGTTAGACACAGCTTTCTATAGCCAAAACCTGACTCAGAAGGAAATATTTCCTGCAATGGGACTCACAAGCCAACCAGCCAAAATGAACGCTCTTAACTATATGTTCAAGACTTTGAGTGCCATGTTCTTAATTGCCTTTCTGGGGACCTTCCCCGATTACTGGTTCACAGTATATTACAAAGACAAAATAGGCAGATTCTGAATCCAAATGGAGTTTTTTATGGTGTCCAGATTCATGCTTATTATCAGAATACATTAGGATTACCTAACAACCGAAAATCACAAATAGGTGCTTATGGGGTGACATGTTTCTTTGCCAATTTTGGCCACAACAGTACCACATTTGTTCTTCCGGCCGAGCTATTCACAATGAGAGTTAGATCCACTTGCCACATGCAGAATGCAGCATCGGGGAAAAGGCAGGGGCCATGATTGGTGCATTTGGAGTGCAAAACTATACGCAAGATAGAAATTTAAACAAAATTAAGAAGGCCACGATACTTTTGCCTTCACAAACCTGGTAGGGAAACCATGGGACTGTCTCTTGAGGAGATATCAGGATAGGATGGTAGCCGAAGGAGACACAGATGCCACTCAGTCAGTCGGACACCAACTACAAAGGAGTTATCGGCTGCCATGCAATCTCACATGGTGCCACATGATTCTGCACACGGTGCTACCGTGTTGCTGATAAGTTGGATTATACGCGCAGTTTTGATTGTTACGGCAAGTGTTTGTTCAATTGCAAAACCAATACTTCCTGTTATAATCTACAAATGGCCACAGAATTAGAAGGTGAAGTTGCAAAAAAATTAATGGAAATCACCCACTTGTCAATGTTTTTTGTGCACTTTATAGCAAGCATGTCTTAATCAACTTCTTTTCCCTTTTCGATTTTCTGATGACAAGTGATAATACAATGATTGGAAACATGGAACTTTGTTCACGACGTGATAAAACCAAGAATGATGCAAGTCTTATGAGCTTAAACTAGCCTATTTGACTAGGTGCCTCCCAGCCGGCACAAAAGCAACATAAACGTTCCATGACTCGATTAAGCAAAGATGCCCATTCCGTGAGATTTCTAATTCAATTTTGTTTTTTGCTTTGGATGCACAGCAAAGGACGTGCGACTCTATGCAACACTGGCCACAAGAGAGTGAGATTAATTATAAACTTTACTCCATGTCTGATTGCATGCTCATCAGGCAGCTTACTTGAAGAAGCCTGCTACACGGACAGGGCCGCCATTTAGAAAAACCCTTACTTGAATTCAGCCTTCAACTAACAGAAGAACATGGAAAAGTCAAATGAGCAAATCAAGTAATCTAGTTCGTGGTCATGCAGTTTATTAATTCACCAAGACAGGATGGCATTGGCATCGTCATTGAGCAAAGATTTATTTGCTGATACACGTCCTGCAAAGAAATGTGTATGAATAAAGAAGATAATCCCAATGATAACGTCAAATTTTGCTCTCCATTCAGAAATCGCTAGAGTTCTTTGAACGTGAATTGTCACATCTCCAGAAGAAACCATTAACACTACCTGAGTTCGGCAAAACTTTAGGAAGTTCGAGCCTCAAGCAACGAACTTCAGGCAACGAGTATCATTGTGGATAGCCCGGCACTTGATTGAACAGAAACGCATTCCACATTGTATGCATGTGTAGTTTGCAGAAAACCCACAAACTGTGCAAAAATGGCGTCGAGCGATAGAGCTTGGAGGTCCCACAGCTGCTCTGAAGTAGGAGGGCACATGAGGAGGCAATGACTCCAGGTTTGCCTAATTCCAACATCATTCAATCAGAACTGATACTCGAGCCAACTATCATTAGCAAGGAACTAACAGAGAGCAGTCTTGCTTTCATAATCTTTACCTCGTTTAAGAGCTCAAGGAACGTTCTCGGGGCCTTCTTAGCATCTTCAAGAGCTTTAGCTTGACGAGTTTTACGTTTCGTGCTTTTGGATTGCTTCTTTTGATACACTGCAGCATAAGTTACATAAGAAGATCACTAATTTGACAAGATGATGATGCAGAATGGCCCAATTATTGAGAATATAAATCCACCAGCTAATCACGTGATCCGAGGAGGCAATTAGCAGACCTAACAGGTGGTTAAAAAAACATGGAAACATGAAAATATTGCTAAAGAGAGGCAAGCAGAGAGTAGATGGATATAGAGATCATAACTAAGCAATAATGATATTCTCGTAGATATTTCTGCAATAAATCTAATGCACAAAGGATTATGGACAACTAAGTTTAGGTACTTCCATAACAAGAGGGAAGCCGTGATCAAGGACAGAGAACAGAAACTCTCATTTTTTAAGCTCTATCACCCTTTCTCAAGGTAACATGATAAATCATCCTGTTAGTTTTTAAAGTTGTCGGCAATCTGTGAACGAATACATAGTTGTAGGGTCAAGTTGTAATTTACTTAGACGGTTAGAAGTCATTGGAGTCGGATTTGGAACATTGGAAAAGTTGCCGAATTTTCGCTGGATTGTCGCCAAGCCGCTGATCGAGCGTCAGAAACAGTAAACACGTCGTTTGCCTATCGCCTACCTTTCGCTCGAGCGAAACTGTTTCACTCGCTTATCGCCGAGATCTCGCTCAAGCGACAGACCGAACTAAAAAGCCCTAGTTAGCGACTTTCGAGATTTTGGAGAGGCCCATACTACCCAAAACACCCACATATATAAACCATAGCGCCTCCACACGAAAATTCTACGGGATTGAACATTGTGAAACTTCATACTCATCCACGACCTTCTTTCTATCCTACTTTGCTTGAGTGTTGCTATTGAAGAAAATATCAAACACACATAAATCAATCACCAAAAATAAAACTTCCAAACATCTGTCAAATGGTTGAAGATCGAGGAAGGTGATCGAAGTTACGATCGAGGGAGAACGAGGAGTTCTCGGGAATCCGCAAGAGATAAACGAACTCAAGAAGCCGGGAGTTGGTGCAGGAGCACGCATTCCAGGAGGCCTTTGGAAAATTGCAGTCAGGAGGTCAGAAAGCTCTAGTGTTGGTAGAGTCTAGCAGTACTCTAAGTTTAATCGTTTATAGTGGATTCATATTGGCTTGGGCCCGGAGTTTTTAATCCCACAAGGGGTTTTCTCCGTCAACAAATCTCTCGTGTTATTTACTTTGTGCAAATAACCATATTGTGGCAATTAACTGTATGATAGTGTGCTTATGGTTGTTCTGGATGATTTAATAAGTGTGACTTGTTGCATTTATTAATTAACTAGTTTAAATTCCGCATAATCACCTATTCATCCCCCTTAATTTGGATCAAACGATATTGTTTTCAAGTGGTATCAGAGCAAAATTTCGATTCCTGACCCATACTTGATCTAGATGAGCCAATTACTGTCTGTGCCTCCGTATTTTGACGGAAGCAACTATGCCTACTGGAAAGTAAGAATGAGAGCATTCCTTAAGTCACTAGATGAGCGTATTTGGATAAGTGTACAAAATGGTTGGTCTGCCCCTTCCACCACTGTGTCAGGAGTAGTTACCCCTACAGACATTTCACTTTGGACTAAGGATGAATTAGCTAAATGTAACTGAAATAGCAAAGGACTTCATGCACTGTTTATGGCTGTCTCCCGAAGAGTTTAGGAGAGTGTCTATATGTGAAACTACTGAAGAGGTATGGGACATATTAGAGACCACGCACGAGGGAACCAAAACTGTTAAAAACTCCAGATGTTGGCCTCTAGGTTTGAAGATATTAGAATTAAGGAAGATGAATTGTTTGATGAATTCTACGCTAAGTTGAATGACATAGTCAACTCTAGTTTTAACCTAGGTGAAAAAATTCCAGAAACCAAAATTGTTCGAAAAGTTCTTAAATCCCTACCTAAAAGATTTAGACCCAAGGTTACTACAATTGAAGAGAGTAAAGATTTAAATAAAGTTAAGCTAGAAGAACTGGTAGGATCTCTTCAAACCTATGAACTCACCATATCACAACCGAAGAAAAGCAAGTCCATAGCATTAAACACTGTTAAGGAAGATGAGTCTGAATCTACTGATGCTGAGACACTTAGGGATGACGAGATAGCTTACTTTGTTAAAAAATTTCAAAAAGTCCTTAGGAACAAGAAAAAACATCAAGAATGGAAGAAGGGTGCCCCTAGCAAATTCCAGAAAGACAAGAGTGATAAGCCTAGTGCTAGAGGCCCTAGTAAGAAATCTCAACCAATTAGATGTCATGAATGTAAGGGATTTGGTCACTATAGAAATGAGTGTCCTAACTATAAGAAGAACTTGAATAAAGGAAGGGGCAAGGATTTGGTAGTGTCACTAATAGATGATGAATCCAATTCTAGTGAGCAAAGTGATTCCTCCAGCAGTGAAGATGAAAGGAACTACATGGCTTTTATGTCTAGAGTTAAGAGTGAATCAGATAAGGAAAGTGAGAAAGCTGAGGAAGAGAACGTAGTGAAAACTCTGAGGGAGAATCCGAGGATGAGACTGATATTCATGAGACCTATCAATTACTATTTAAGGAAAGCCTCAAGATTAAGAGAGTCAATAAAGCCCTGCTGAAGAAGGTAGATGAACTTGAAAGAGAGAGAGAGACTCGCCGGTGATCTTCAGGACTCTTCCAAAAATCTTAGTGAGTTGAGGTGTGTTAATGAGAAATTAGAAGTTAAGCTTAGGACTTTAACAAGTGATCTTGAGAAATCCAATACTCAACTCCAATCTTTCTTAAGCGGGACTAAGAAACTTGATAACCTGTTAGGGATGAATAAACCAACTGGAAATAGGCAAGGCCTAGGATATGTTAAACATGATAACAATGCTGCTAGTTCTTCCAAGACTACTTTCGTCCTGGCCTCTAACACATCTAGTAACATTACCAATCTTGAACCTGAGAGTAAAAGTGTTTTAGGACAGAGGACTTCTAGAATGCATAGGACCACCACACCTAAAAATCAATTTCAACAATCACGTGGTTTAGAACCTAGGTTTATTCCTACTTGTCATAACTGTGATGTTTTAGGACACACGAGGCCTAGGTGTCATAAGAATGTGAATATAGGTAGAAGTAAGGATATTCATAGCCAAGTGAACTTCCTTTCCAATCAGGTTAGTCACTTAACTGAGATGATGACAAAATTGACTATGATTACCTCAACTTCTAGGAAGGTCTGGGTCAAGAAAAGTGATATGTCTAGGTTTGATGAGAAACTAAACTGCTATGTTGCCCATGTTGCATTTAAAGCTCAAAACACAATTATGTGGTACCTTGATAGTGCTTGTGCTAGACATATGTGTGGTAATAAGGCATTGTTCTCCACTCTTGATGATTGTAATGGCGGTATGGTTACCTTTGGAGATGGGGCTACTGCTCCTATTCTGGGTAAAGGTACCGTCAACATTTCTGGACTACCTGCTATATCTAATGTACTTTACGTGGAAGGATTAAAATCTAACTTGTTGAGCATTAGCCAAATATGTAACACTGATTATGAGGTTAGTTTTGTCTAGAAAAGGTGTACCATTTATGACCCTTTAGGTGACATTGTTCTCGGAGGAGTTAGAACTTCTGACAATTGCTATGGGGTTCTCCCGAATTCCAATTATGTGTGTAGCAGTGCTAAGATCGATGTGACAAATCTTTGGCATCAAAGACTCGGCTATATGAACTACAAGAGTCTGTCAAAATTAGCTAAAAAGGAACTTGTTGATGGTTTACCTAAACTCGAACAAATTGATGATACTATATGTGAACCATGTCAACAAGGTAAACAACTCAGGGTGAATCATAAACGAACTTCTAAAATTTTAACAAACAGGCCCTTGGAACTACTCCATTTGGACTTAATGGAACCGTCTAGAACGGAGAGCCTAGGAGGTAAGCGTTATATCCTAGTAGTGGTAGATGACTTCTCTAGGTACACATGGATTGAATTGTTGAGAGAAAAATCAGATGCCTTCAGTTCATAAAATCCCTATGCAAGAGGCTGAGTAATGAACAAAATCTCACAATCACGAAGGTTCGAAGTGATCATGGAAAAGAGTTTGAAAACTCTAGTCTTGAAAACTTCTGTATGGAGGAGGGAATTCAGCATGAGTTCTCTTCCCCAATCACTCCACAACAAAATGGGGTAGTGGAGAGAAAAAATCGAGTGCTTCAAGAAATGGCCAAGGCCATGCTTCATGGTAAGGACGTTGCTATGCATTTCTAGGGTGAAGCCATAAACACTGCATGTCACATTGTGAACCGAGTATATCTTAGACCTAAAACTGATAAAACTCTGTATGAGATTTGGAAGGGTAAAAAGCCTACTGTTAGATACTTTCGTGTGTTCGGCAGTAAGTGTTACATTCTGAGAGATAGAGAGAACTTGGGGAAGTTTGATTTTAAAAGTGATGAGGGAATTTTTCTAGGATACTAGAGCCTATCGTGTTTACAATTCGCGCACACGTGTTGTAATGGAGTCCATAAATGTTGTGATTGATGATGGTTTTAGTGAGGGGGAGAGTGTAGGACATAGAGTTAGGTTAGATAAGTTAAGAGTTGATTCAGCAGAGGTGACTGAATCTAAAGAACAATCAACTTTTGATTCCCTGCGCTCTCTTAAAAGACTTAGACACTTCCAATAAGGATCAACACTCAGTGACAAACCTAAACCTCATAGGGAACCGTCTTCGAAAGTTAAGTCTAATCATCCTAAGGGAAACATTATTGGGGACTTAGATGAAGGTATGAGGCTACGCAAGAGGATCCTAAAATGTCTGACTTACACTAGTTATGTATCCTAGATTGAGCCTAAGAAAGTGGAGGAAGCCCTTAGAGATGAATGTTGGATCAATGCGATGCATGAGGAACTGAACCGATTTGTGAGAAATGATGTATGGTATTTAGTTCCTAGATCTGAAAATTGTAATGTGATTGGTACAAGTAGATATTTAAGAATAAAACCGATGACCAAGGTACCATAACTAGGAATAAGGC